TGTTCTTTTTTCTCCATTCTTTTTTACCTCTGTTCTTTGCATTGTAGAATCTCTAGTGACCTATCTTAAAGTTTGCTGATTCTGTCATCTGAAAGTTCAAATCTACTGTTGAGAATTTCTAGTGAATTTTTTCTTTCAGTTATTGTATTTTTCAATTCCAGAATTTTGACTTGGTTCTTTTTAAAAAAATAATTTCTCTTTATTAACATTCTTTATTTCATGAGACATTGTCATACCTTCTTTTACTTCTTTTTAGCATGGTTTCCTTTAGTTCCTTGAACATATTTATAATGGTTGCTTTGAAGTCTTGGTTTGTTAAATCTGATATCCAGGCCCTTTCACAGACAGTTTCTATTGCCTGCTTTTTTTCCTGCTTATGGGTCACACTTTTCTGTTTCTTTGTATGACTCTCAATTTTTTTGTTGTTGAAAACTGGACTTTTTAGGTAATATAGCAACTGTGGATACTGATTTCTTCACCCCTTCTCCAGGGTTTTGTTGTTGTTTGCTTACTTATTTGTTTCGTGATTTGGGTGGACTATTTTAGTGAAGTCTTTTCCTCCCTCAATGTGAAGGCTCTGCCATGATTGCTTAGAGGATGCAGCCCTGGGCATGTGCATGGTCACTCTGGGATGATAGAATTAGCAGGACTCTCTTAGACTGTCTCTTTTCCTGATCTCTCTGTGAAACTGCATACCTCTGCTCGTATCATACCCAACTTTTAGGCTCTACTAATTGAGCTTACTGCTCTATTTTCAACAATGCCCTAGGGCATAAATTGTTCCAGGGTCTGATGCAATTAAATTTGGATCCCTTGTGGAAGTAGTCTTGAAGTCAGTCTTTGAGATTTGTTCTGACCCAAAGAGGGCTCTTCTAAGCTCTTTTTCCCTGTTTCTCTCTGGTAAACTGGCTGGCCTACAGTTTAGCTTGTTGTTTTTAATTTCTTATCACCAAAATTGCCTCTTAAGATTGAATGTCCCCACATTCTGTTCCAAATAAAGTCAGTTCCTCTGGTGCGAGCTTCGGAGCTCTCAGTCTATAGACTGACTGGGAATAATCTCTGAGTATCTATTGTGGAGCTGAGGGCAGGGACTATGGCTCACATCTCTCAGAGTGACATCCTGCTTTATGTGCAGGTGTGGGGCAGGCGTGGTACCCTCTGGTCCACTCAGTTTGCCTCTCCTAACGTGGAACCTGTACCATGAGCAAGTAAGTTGGGACAAGGGTGATCAGACCTCCAATATTCTCAGGCTGCCATGCTTCTACTCTATGAGTGGGGGCAGGGTAGAAGAAGGGAGTCCCCAGACTCTTGGGTGCATTCACCAGGAATTCAGCCTCTACAAGTTGGAGCTGAGGGGGAAGTGATGATTAGAAATGCTGGCAGCCTGCTGCTCCCAGTGAGATACTAGATCTCTTGACCATGAGCTAAGGGGAAAGGGAACACCATTTTCTTGGCCACACCCACCTGGATCAGAACTTCAGTCATTGCTCTGAGATGGGGAGGGAGGCAGTGGGTTGTGGCTTAAGTGCCACAGACTCTCACTCTTCTTACTGAGATTTAGTAGATGTTCTTGAATAAATGTTTCTTCATTTGCTATATGCCCTTAGGAAAATTTCCGGAGATCTGAACAGTTGGTTTGTAAAATAATTTTTACCAGTTATGGCTGTTTCCTGGGGAGCAGGTCTGCAGAGCTCCTCATGCCACCATTCCAGAAGTGGAAGTTGGGCATAGTGATTTGAGACAAACTTATTCCAGGTCTCACAGTCCAAGAGACATTGGAATTTCATTTTAGATCCCTTTTGGGATCACCTGAATTAAGCATGATACTCAGATGCTAGTCTGATTAAATAATCTCCTTGGAACTGAGAGCCTCATGGTAGCTGCCAATCTGTGAGACACTCGGTAGACAGGAGCAGACATCAGCCCAGCTAGCATTCTACTGGTCCTTTGGGATTGCTCTGAGGCTGAAGAAAAGGACCCATCCAGATTTGGCACACTCATTGAGAGTCCTGGGGGGAGCAGAAGGAAATTCCCACATAACTTGGAAGTCTGGTATAAGAGATATGACTTGTTCTCTGCGGTTCCTCTCCTATGCAGACTCCATCTGCACCCCCACAATGTGGTGGAACCCAGAAACTGTCTTTCTCCAAACCTGGTCTCAAGAGGCGGGTATTCTCTCTCCCACCTGTTGGGACCTGCCTTTCAAGCTTCCTTTCTCCTCCAGATGAGAGGGTCTACCCCATCCAGGTAGCATTATTCCTCCCCCTACAACTACAAATGGACACCCCAGGATCCTAACATAAAAGTCAGTCATTCTTATTTCCTACTCCCTTACTACCATGGCCAGAACCCAGACCTGCCACTCAAGGATTTCAGCTGCTTGCAGCTAAGATCCCCTGTCCTGCTACCATCCTCAGGAGACATGCTAGGCCCTGCCAGACCACAGTGTCAGCCTCCCCCGACCCTAGTCCATGTGAGGGTGTGCCCCTAGTCAAACAAACTGGTCCCAGCACTCAAAGCATAATTCTTTAGTTTCACTTACCTGGCCATTTTCCTGGGGGTGCACACCAACCCATGGAAGGACAGCTCAGGAACAGGTTCCAGCATCCCCAGGGGCTTCAGGGTGCCCTGGACCACAAAGTTCCTTTCAGGGACCACCTCACTGGTCCCAATTATTTGTTCCTACAGAGGATTTAACCTCAGGAGCTTTTAACTAGCCAGGTTTTAGTTGAAAGTGATGGAAACTCAATCCAAAAGAGCTTAACTTCAAAAGGATCTTGAGGTGGTTAGAGAACAGGGATGAGGAGCTGGAGTGTGGACACAGGCTCTGAGGTCCTGCCTCCACTGCTCTCTGGGTGTGCCTCCTCTCTTGCCTGGGGGCAGTAGAAACCAATTGCTCAGGAGCCATATCCTTGCCATCCCTTTCCAAAGAGGACATTAACTCTTTCTCTGGGCATTTTCTGCTGTCTGCCCTCCCCATGGTCTCGCTTCCGTTGTTCCACCAGGCACTCTCTGTCTGCTGAGCTGCATGGCTCTGGCTCCGGCCAAGGGGTCTTTAGGGAGAGGCATCCTCTCTTCCCAAGGACTCTGCTCTGTTCCTGTATCCTGCCTCACTCTAGTGACGCCCCTTCCTCAGGATCACCTGCAGCCTCTTGCCTCCCCGGGAAGAGGACTGAGGCAGGAATGACTGCACATGAGAATCACCCAGTGAACTTTACGAAATGCCAATGGCCAGGCTCCAAACCAGATCAGTTCATCTGAATCCGTAGGCATAAGTCCCCTGCATTGGTGTTTTTCCCCCAAGTGATTCTAATATAGTACAGCCAGCGTTGCAGCCACTAGTATAGAGACCTCGAGATAACCCAGGTGAAGATAATGAGGGTGAACTTGAAGAGGTCCTGAGACCCACTCTCCAACCCCAACACACACATAGAGTCTTATCGTTAGGCTTCTAATAATACCCTAGAAGCAACAGCCCACAGAATCCTGCAGCTGCCAGGAAATCCTCAAACTTTGTCCTTGAAAAGCATGATCACTTTATCTTAATTTGAAGCCAGTTGCTAAGGCCACACCTGGGGCACAGAGCCAGTAGGCTTTGCTGGTTTTTAAGGTGCTTGGGAGGGGTGCTGACTTCCACTGGGGGTGGGAGGCAAGTGCGCTGCAGAGGAGGCTCCCTTGGAAATGGGGAGAGGTGCCTCTGGGTGGAGAATCTGCACTTCTGTCCCTCTCTGCAGGTCACAGTGGTCTTAAGAGACCCTCCCCCTCCTTCTTAGATTTTCCCAGGGGAAATGCCTGGAATGTTGGGGCTCAGTGGGGAGAAGGTGGTTAGAAGTAGGCGGTGTGGTCAGTCATGCCTGGGGCCTCAGTAGCCCTCTGATAAGTTGGAGGGCATTCCCCCTGAGAAGGGGTGAGACGTGGATGGTTCAGTAACACTGATTCAAGCAATGTTACCGCTTGGCTACTGTATACTACAAAAGTTAAAAGGCCAACTGAGGAAAATATGGACAACAAATATACATAAAGGTTACTATGTTAATAAGTTTTACAAGTCAATAAGAAACACATTAAGACCCTCAAAGAACAATGAATAAATAGATAATTCCCAGAAAAGAAAAACACTGATAATTGTTTTGCTAGTAATCAAAGAGTCAAATTAGAACACCATTTCTACTACCGAAGTAGCAAATATTTATTTAAAATCATAATATCCAGTGCCGGTGAGGGTTCGAATAGTTCCTCTTTTAATAATTGCAAATTTGTAGATAGCACTTACTCATGTTACTCAGCCCGGTCCCACTGCTCACATCCCTTCCCTCCTTGTGAAATGTGAGAATAAAGGAAAACCTCCTTTAGAATGGAGTCAGGAAGCCCTAAAGGGGGCGCACTCACGCATGTGCCACTCGTTGCAGCCTGCAGAACCCGCAGGAAGAAGGAAGAAACAGGATCTGTTTGTATGGGTTTGTATAAAATTCTCTCCGTCTCCACTTCTTATCCGTGATGATGGGAATGTTACTTTTCTTCTAGTGCAAGGGAGGACCTTTCTCACGTGGGAATTTGATCTGCTTTTAAGAAAAGGAAGGAAGATCCCTCTCTGTCGTAGCAACACTCACTAACCTCCACTCGCAACCAATAAGACGCTGCCACAACCTCGAACTCTTGTTCTTCTCCAGTGAACTTTTATTCAAAACTACCCTCCCCATGGGCGACCCCGGGGCGGAGTGGTTAAGTTGGCGTGCTCTGCTTCGGTGGCCCGGGGTTCCCTGGCTCAGATCCTGGACGCGGACATGGCACCGCTCATCAAGCCATATTGTGGTGGCATCCCACGTAGAAGAACTAGAATGACCTACAACTGGGATATACAACTATGTCTTGGGGCTTTGGGGAGAAAAAGAGAGAGAGTGAGAGGAAGATTGGCAACAGATGTTAGCTCAGGGCCAATCTTCCTCACCAAGAAGAAAGAAAGAAGAGGGGGGGAGAAAGAGAGAGAGAGGGAGAAAGAAAGAGAGAGAGGGGGGGAGAAAGAGAGAGAGAAAGAAAGAAAAAAAGAAAGAAAGAAAAAGAAAAAAGTATACTTAAAAAAAAAAAACTACCCTCCCCATTTTGCGCCTAAAACCTAAACCTAAGAAAACCTTCCCTTTGTCTCTTAGGACTTGCACGTGGTTCACCATAGTTTGCTTGTCCTAAATTTCAATTTCTCTGCTGTTCCGGAATAAACGCATTCTTTTTTGGAGCTTGCCTCACTTTACCTAAGTTGACAGAAGTACTATAATCCCCATTTTGCAGATGTTCCTTGACACAGGTCAAGGAACTCGCCCGAGTCGCACGGCTGATGTGCTGTTCCGCGTCGCTGCAGATGGAAGTGTAAGTGGTATAAAACCCCGCTGGAGGGCAGTTTGGAAACATATCTAGAGCTTAAAAATGTTCATTCCCTTTCCCCCGTAATTCTACTCACAAGAATCCATCCCAAGAGAACACCCAGCGATGAGCCATTGTTTTCCGCGGCGCGTGTGGAATGACAGCGCGTCTGGTAGATGTGGGGCTGCGGGTGCGTCACAATGTACCTTTAGAACTTGTGGAATGCGGATGGAAGCTGGCTCATAATACGACGCTAAATGAAAAGAGGTCCAAAATGTATATATGATACGTACATCGTAATAGACCTTGATTTCTGTGGGTGATGGGACTGTGATTTTTAATCTCCTCGTTGTCCTTTTCTCTGTTTTTTTACTATCAGCGCTTATGAATTTTATAATCAGAAACAAAAGCTAGGTGTCTTTCGGCTTGTTGTGTGTGTGTTTGATGCCGAGTTTCCAGGACAGGAGGGCCCAGGAGGTTGGGGTGGCGGTGTTGGCAGCGGCAGGGCCCCTGGAGGCGCCGGCTCTGCCCCTCGAGTGAGGCGGGCGCCCCGCCCCCGGCGGTCTGGAAGCGCGATCAAGCCTCGGCCGGCGGGCCCCTGCGGGCGCGTGGGTGCCTCTCGGTGGGCGGGGAGGGCAGCCGGGGAAGCACAGCCCCGGCCAACAACACGGAGTCCCCATGCAGCCGGCGGAGAAGGTCTCGAAGGTCTCCCGGAGTGACTCGGAATCAAGGCAGCCGAGGTGGGCCGGGATTAGGTGGCCCGGCTGCGGGGCGGGAGAAACCCGCTCAGCGCCTCCCGGGAGCGCAGGGCCTGGAGCGGCCCGAGGAGCCCAGGGATCCCGGCTGGGGCCGGGCTCGCCTCCTGAGAGGTGCCCGGGGCCCTCGACGATGGTCGCCTCCTCGTCGCCCCGCCAACCAGGCGGCCTTGCCTCGGTCTCCACGAACGCCCCGGGGCGCGAGTGCCGCCCTCGCCCACACGGCGCCCCTTCACAGGCCGCCCAGCCGGGACCAGCCTCTTCCTCGTCCAGTTCCCCGCATCCTTCCCCGCTTCCCTCCCCACTACCCCACAGCGACTCTAGTCCCGTCGATGAGCGGGACCAGAGGGCGATTGGGAGAGACTCCGAGCTGTTCGCGGCCGCGCTGGGCAACCTGGAATGGTTGCGGTTCTGTCTGAATCGGGACCGTGGAGAAATCCTGGCCAATGACAAGGTAAGGCCTTGGGGTGCCGGGGCAAGAACTGAAGTCTTCTCCAGCCCACACGTAGTGGTTACCTGGCGCAGATCTGACTATGGAGCATCCAGAGATGTCCTTTCCTGGGTAGATGGTCCTAAAGCACCTTCTGATTGTGGGAGGGCCATTTTAGGGGCACCAGAAAGGGTGAGCACATACTGGAGTGGGAAAAGGGTGTGCGCGACTCCTGAGGCACAGGGAAGAGGGGAAGGGTAACTCCAAGAAATTGCTATCTGGGTTAGGTTGTGCATCCTGGGGCCCCAATCTTGCTCAGCCTCCTCCTGTCCTCCTCTGGCCCCCACAGGGTTTCACTGCCATCCACTTTGCAGCCCAGAGCTGCAAGCTGGCATGCCTGCAGGTCTTGGTAGAGGAGTACAAGTTTCCAGTAAACCTGCCCACCAACAATGGCCAGACCCCTCTGCACCTCGTCATGCACAGGGACAACAAGACCATGGCCCTCCCCTGCATTCACTACCTGCTTAAGCAAGGCGCGGCCCTCAACACGTGAGTCCAGCCTGCCTCAGGAGAGTGGCCTGGAGGCTGGGCAGATAGGAACCGTTCCCCTTTCCAGGCAGCCAGGTCCATGCAGGACAGGTGGAGGGGCTGTGGGGTGACGGGGATTGGGTCCCCACAAAGCAGTCAGGGAGCCCACGTGGTGTAGTAAAGAGATCGGGCTTTGGGAGAGGACAGACCTAGTCCATGTCCCAGCTTTGCCACCTGCTAGCAAACAGTGAAACCTCAGGCAAGTCACTCAGCCCTAAGCCTCAGGTTCCCACACCTGTCAGTACATTGGAATCACCCGGGGAGTTTCAAAAATACCAGTGCCAAAAATACCTTATTCAAAAATAAGACTATTGTGATAATCAAAAAATGCATAGAAAGTACATGGATGGCATATGGGAGGCTGCATTCATTCAAAATATTTATGGAGCATTCACTATGTGCTCAGCACTCTGCCAGAGTTGAGGAATATGGCCATGAACACACAGAAATGGTCCCTGCCATTGTGAAGCTGCTATACTAGTGCAGGAGCAGACAGTGCATCAGCAAACTAATAAATGAACAAAATGACAGAAGGTAGTAAGCGGTTATGAAGGAAATCAAACGGAGTGATGGGGTGGTGAGTAGGTACTCTGGAGAGGAGAGGATCTATTTTGGAAAAGGCAGTCGCCCCTACAGAGTGACGTTTAAATTGGAACCTGCAAAGAGTGAGCTAGCCATGCAAAGAGCCAGGAAGAAGTGTTCCAGCAGAGGGAACAGCATGTGCAAAAGCCATGTGTTGGGAGAGAGTGGGGCAAAGTTGGAAGATGGGGTTGAGGAGGAGGCAGGGCCCAGGTCCTGCAGGCCCTGTGGGCCATGGCCAGCCTCCGGGAAGGGGCAGGAGGGCTGGTTGACTTAAGAGTGGGTGAGGGTAGTGGTCTCTGACCTCCAGCCAACCCAGCTCTCCTTCCAGCAGTTCCTAAGTGTCTTATGTCACCAGAATCAGACTTCTGTTCATTTTGTCCAAACCCCCCTTCTACAGTTGAGGAAATTGAGGTACAGAGAGGAGAAGGGACATGCCAGGATCACTCAGTGGGCTGGTGGCAGAGCAGGGCTGGAAGCTGGTTTGGGCACATATCTGACAGGCAGATGCCCTTTGTCGTTCCTTTCTGCCCTCTTCCACCTGGTGGGGCCCTCCACAGTCGGACGTGCAATGGCTCCACGCCCCTGCACCTGGCAGCCCGTGAAGGCCTGCTGAACTGTGTGGAGGTCCTAGTGCAAAATGGCGCCAATGTCCATGCCCAGGATGCCATGGGCTGCAAGCCCATCGACTATTGCAAAGTATGGAACCACCGCATCTGTGCCCGGTGAGGGTGAGAACCACCCACAGCCTGCCATCCCTTCCCTCCTCCCAGCCCTTCCCCCAGGGCCCTCACCCAGGGCTGAGCCTTTCAGAGAAGGGTCTAGGAAGCCAGACGGCTAGGGGGAGAAGTCTGCTGAGGAGGCCCCTTCCCAGGATATTATTCCCAGGGCTTTCCACAGGGCCCGGCCCCTTCGGATTCAGCATTGCCCTTCTTCCTTGCCCCGAGACCGTGGCTCCTCAGCAGGAGGGTGGTGATCAGACCATCAGACACTTTCCTCTCACCTCAAAAGAAGTACTTAGCCAGAGGGGCCCTGAACAGCAGGAACTGTGACTCTGGCAGCTCCCCACCCCCACCCCCATCCAGGCCCTCAGTGGCAGCCAGTCTTCCCAGCCCAGGTTGAAGCTTGGTCACTGGGAGATGACATGCCCCCACCTTGGCACCAGCTTCTTGAAGGATGCCATGTGGAAATGGGACAAGAAGAACTTTGCTCGTGAGATGGGGAAACTGAAGAGGCTCAAGGACCAGCTGGCCCTCATGGAGCAGGACTACCTGACTGACTATCAAGTAAGGGGTAGGGCGGGCAGGGGCGCCAGGCACCAGCTGCTATCCAGGCACATGAGTAGAGGAGGCAGTGACACCCACGTGGTTAGAAGGGTGGCCAGAAGCAGTCCCAACCAGAAAGAGCCTCCCTCTGCCCCTCCTCTGGCTGAAATCCCACCCATATAAGCCACTCTTTTAGGTCAAAAGTCTCGTCTTGTGTTAGAAAGCAAATACAGCTTAAATTAGCAAATATTTAGAGAGCCCCTCCTAGTGCACTGCCTCCTTCTGGATGAGGAGAATCTCTAATGAGCCCAGGCCCTGCCTATATCAGGACACACACTGGTTAACAGGATCCATCCTTCCAGCAGACACTGAGCTCTCACTCTGCTGGGCACCTGCTAGACCCTGAGGCTCCAAAGACAAATGAGCTGTGGTCCCTTCATTCAAGGAATTTAGAGTCTAGTAGGGGAAATGGGTATATTCCCATAGAGGAGGAAGGGGTTCAGGGTGTGCCAGAGGGATAATGCTTGAGATGAGTCTTTATTTTTTTTTTATTTTAATTTTAATTTTTCTTTTTGAGGAAGATTAGCCCTGAGCTAACTGCTACCAATCTCCCTCTTTTTGCTGAGGAAGGCTGGCCATGAGCTAACATCCATGCCCATCTTCCTCTACCTTATATGTGGGACGCCTGCCACAGCATGGCTTGCCACGTGGTGCCATGTCTGCACCTGGGATCCCAACCGGCAAACCCCGGGCCACCAAAGCAGAATGTGTGCACTTAACCGCTGTGCCACCGGGCCGGCCCCTTAAGATGAGTCTTTAAAGATGGGCAGGAGTGGGCCATATGAAGGAGGAAAGGGCTGACCAGGCATAGAGAGGCATGAGGCACATGGGAGAGTGGTGTATGCTGAGAAGTGCAAATTTCAGTACAGCCAGGGGGTCAGATGTGAGTTGGAGATTGACAAGCTAGAGATTTGGTGGGGGCCCAGATCAATGACAGACCTTGGCTGGGGAAGGAGGAGGGGAGCAACTAAAGGATTTTAAGCAGATATAATTACATAGGATGCAAGAACCAGAAAACCCAGAAAGAAGATGCTAGGAATCCTAAGTGGATCCAGAAGTAGGGAGGGCTTTGGGGCTGGCAAAATCTAGTACTCCAACTCTGTTCCAGCTGCATTTCTTGCCAGTTTTCTCAGCCCTACCCTCCTCTGCTGCTGGTGTCACCCAGTCCTCAAAGTCACACGTGTCCAGAGGAGGCAAAGCCCATCTGTTCCTGTGGCTCTAAACTTTCCCAGAAGCCCCTTGCAGATCTCTCCTCACCTCTCATTGGCCTCAGTTGGATCACATGTGTCGTTCTTGTTCCAAACCCTAGAGCTAAAGGAAAGCCAGCTGAATGTGCTGACTGACCTGGGTCTAAGGTAAGGCTGACGGAATTATTATGATTGGCTTAGCCTAATCAGAGCCTACATCTGGAGCTGGGTCAATCTCTAAACCACTTGAGACTGCTTAGCAACAGCCTGCGAAGCGAGGCACTGAGACAAGGGGGTTAGAATGGGGCCGTTCAGCTCTAGGGGAGGCTCAACTTGAAGTTGAAGGTTGAAGATTCAACTCTAGGGGAGGCAAGAACAGAGAGACAGACCAAGTCATTACCATCCAGCCTGGAGCGCTAGCCATCTGTATCCTCCCTACATGACTGCTCAAGGCTGACCATTTACAGGAAGCCTGCCTGGATTTGCTCCACTCAGTTCCAGGCCTTTCTGGTTTCTCCTTCCAGGGTCCAGGATGCAGTTTGCACTTCTCACTTGCTCCCCCACCACCCATCAAACCAGAGACTCTCTTAGGGCAGGACATGCCTCCACTATCAGACTGGGGACTCCTTTAGTGGGGTGGAGACTTGTTTCCCCCGTAAGCCTCGAGGTTTCTGTAGGGCAGGAACTGTGTCTCTGCCCCAAAGTTGGAGGCCTCACCTGGGAAGGAGGCTGTATCTCCATAAGACTGGAGAAGCCCCCTACAGGAAAGGTTCTGTCTGCCCCTTCAGCCCAGGCTCCCTTCGAGCAGTCCTTATCTATCCATCAGAACATGGGCTGCCATAAGGCAGGAGTTTCCCCCATCAGACTCAGGGCTCCCCTGGGGCATGACTGAATATGGCCAATCAGACCTGAGGTTTCCAAGGGCTCTAGTCTCAGGGCCTCCTTCCACAGAAGCACAGCAGGCGCAGCCCTCCACAACTATCCTGTGCCCTCTGACATTGCAGAAAGAGCACAAAAGTCTGAGAGAGGCTGATTTCAAGAAGTGGCTTCATGGCAAGCGGCTGCCCGGAGGCCAATCCCTGATGGGCAACTCTGAGCAAGAGCCTTGTGCCCCACCCCAGGCCGTTGCCGTCTCCAAGACGCCCAGGCACAGGGGATTGTGGCCTCCCAAAAGCTTCCACCCCTCGCCGGAGGCGCGCCTGCAACAGACTCTGCAGCTCAAGCCGCCGCCCTTGGTGATGCCCAAGCCCATCTACATGCGGCCCATGGTCAGGAGGCCCAAGTTGTGGAACCTTAGCAACAACCCCGCCAGATCCCCCACCATCCAGATCGGCTACCCACAGGGCATCCGCCTGGGAGTGCATCCAGACCCCTGGCCAGAGCACGACTTCAGCAGCTTCCTCAGGGTGAGGTCCAACGGGCACGGTGGTGTGAGCCTATGCACAGTGACCGGCAAGCTGGTGTCGCCTGTGCCCCGGCTGCCTTTTGAGGTGATAGTCCGCGGGCTGTACCCTTCGGTGCAGCCATACAGGATGAAGGTGCCCCAGGACCTTTACTCCGTCAGCATGAGGGACGTGCCCAGGAAGCGGCACTTGGGCGACGACACCTTCTGGACTGATAGTCTGGCCATGAACCTGCGTGAGACGTTTGATGAAGCCTTCCTGGCAGCTGTGCGAGCCCATCAAGGGCTCCTCACTCTGTCCTCCCCTAAAACCCACCCATAAACTTATTTTGGTAGCCTCTCGGCCTGAGGCAGCCCAATGAAGGCTGAGGCATGGCAATTTGTGTTGTGGATGGGGAGGAAATGGGGGGAGTGCCCACTCTCAAGCTCAAGGATTGGAGCCCCCTCCCCCCAACAAAAGCCCAGACTCCAGGTTTCCCTTCTCTCCACAAAGAAATCTCTTGGATCTTCCAAGAGATCCAAGTTAGGGCAATGGCCCAAGGCTCAGTCTCTATCCTGGGCCCCAGCATCATAAGAGTAACACCTTGGTGTCCCCTTTGGCCCCCACCCCAACCCAACAGCCCACCAAGGACAAGGCTTCTAGGATGAGGGACCACTGGGAAATTCGGCCTCTTGTTCAGATTAAGTCTTTCCTGCTGCAGGCTCTAAGCCTCACTCTTCATCTCCAGATCCAGAATGGGAGGGGAAACAGCTAATGTGTCACGCTGCCAAGGGCTTCCCTGCCACTTGGGGCTGCCACCCTTCATTCCTAGCTGCCACTGGGGCTCTGCAGTTCAGGGAGGCAGAGGCGGCATATCTGGGGGAGGGGCCTCCTACGGCTTCAGTTTGAGACTATGACAGCACTTGTACCTCCTCCAGGAAGCTATCCCGGATCCCCTGCTCTCCCCCATACACATCACTATAAACCATTCATTAAACAAACATTTATTTAGTGCTTTCTATGTGCCAGGCACCAAGCCAGGCACAGCTGATACAAAAACTGAAGGACAGTCCCTGCCCTCAAGGAGCTTACAGTCTAGTGGGGAGGTAGACGGGTAAGCCGGCAAGTAAGCCCAGGGTGATCCGTGTGGCGTGCTGGGGGGAGAGGGGACACTCAAAACTCCTGGGAGGAAGTGAAATCTAAGTGGAGAATTGACAGAGAAGGTATCCAGGCACCTTCAGAGCAGAAGAAAGGGGAATCAGAATGGCATCTCTGGATAGAGGAGGCTGGGACCCAGAGTGCAAGGTGGCAAGTGATGAGGTCAGAGAGGCGAGCAGGAACCAGGACACAAGAGTCTCACGAGCCATGCTAAGGGGTCTGGACTTTATTCTGAGGGCAGTGGGGAGCCATGGAAGGTTGTAGGCCAGGGAGTGCCTTGATCAACTATGCATTTTAGAAAAAGACAACTCTGGCGGTGGGTTAGAGAAGCAGGAAGCTGTCACAATAATCCACGTGAAAGTTGATGGCAGTGGGAGTGGTTCAAATTAAGAGATGTTAAGAAGGTAAACTTGACAGTTTTGAGAGATTGGATGTTGCAGGCAAAAAGAGAAAGCAGGGATAGAAAGCAGGTTTCTGATCTGGCTCCTGAGTGATCTTGGGGCCACGTCAGGTACCCAAAAAAGGCAGGTTTGCAGAGGACAGCAACACGTGTCATCTGGACCAGGAGAGTTGTCTGTGCATCCAAAGGCAGCAGAACTGTGGTTCACAAGACCAGGAGAGATGCTGGGGCTGGAGGTCAACTCTCAATTCCTCGGCAGAGTCCTTGAAGCCATCAGCATGGATGAGCTCCTCCAGGGAGCCCACGACAGAACCCTGAGAAACCCCACTGTGCATGGGGTGAGTGGAGAAGCCGGCAGAGGACACTCAAAGGAGCAGCCAGAGAGGTAGGAGGAGAACCAGCTACAGAAGTGCCAGGGACCTGCGATTCAAGAGGCTGGGGGGCATCAGCCCTGTCCGGTGCTGCAGAGATCCAGGAGGAGAGCAAAAGGGCCGGCTGGATTTAGCACAAGGCCACCGGCCACCCCTGGGAGAGCATGGCAGTGGAGTGAAGGGAGGGGGCGAAGCCACATTGTTGGGGCAAGGATCAAAGATGTGGACAGCAAGGTAGAGCAGGGCCAGCTGCTGGCCCCAGTGTCCTCTACCCTGTCCTCCCTTGTCTGCATAGGATAAAAGGGCCTGGCAATCTCATTCCCACCGAGAGAAGGTGAAAATGTGTGGCTCCTCCCAGCGAAAGGGAAGGCTGCTATTTTTAAGAGGATGGGAAATGCTAAAGCCAAGGAAATGAAGGGCTACGGTGGGACCTGAGGCAGGAAGCAAAGATTTTCAAGCATAGGGGTCCTCCCAGTGGCTTAAAGGTACCACATGAGTGCAGTCCATCTCTGCACCTGCCAGCCTCGCTTTGAGGTGTAGGACATGGCCAGTAATGGCTCTCCTGGGGACTGCATTCCAGTCTACACTGTTGAGTACTTGCAAGGCACTGGAGTTGGGGTGCAAGGTCAACCATGCTGGTCTGTGCTGCGACCTGGCCAGGCTTCTTGGAAGACTGAGTCATCTCTCGAGGAGCCAAGAGCACACAGGAGACAGGGCCAGCCCTGTGTGCTCTTCGAGTGACAAACAGCTCCTCCTGCCAGTCCTGTTTCCTACAAAACAGGCTGTAGCCCAGGCTGCCTGGAAGCCATTTTTATTTTGTTTTGTTTCTCCTTGAGCCTGAGATAGAACTCAGCCAGAAACCACTGCTTTTTCCTCAGGGGAAAACTTATAAATAGGATACTGTAGATGTTCTTCTGAAAATCTAACCCAGTCCTAAACTGTCCCCTCTCTGCCCCAAGCTTGACAGTCACAGAGCCTTGGGGAAAGAAGAGATGGAAGAAGAGGGAGAGGCATAAGACAGGCGGCCTCCACCCCCAGCCCCACCCCCGGACCAGACTCAGCTGTTCATCTCTGTCCCTTCGGAAGGGCAGAACCCAAACCCAGAAAAGGAGCCACTGGAGCAGAAAGGCCAGTCCAGGGCAGGAGATGAGCAGGGAGAAAGGAAGATGAACTTTCAGGGCATTAAGGCAAACAGTGCCACCTAGAATCTTTATTCAAATGGGAATCAGCACTTGGACAGAAATCACAGTTCAACAGCAAAAACTATTTCTCTTGGAAGTGCCAAGCCACGGCCCCTCCCCATGGCCATCTGCCCAGAGAACTTATCACTGTCTGCTCTCCAGCTTCACGGCTCCTGCCCTGGCTATCCCGGCTGAGCCAGAACCTCGAGACCCACCATGGAAGTGGGCAAGGAGGGCCATAGGGAGCTCAGCTGTCACACAACCAGGTGGACCACAGCCTCCTGCTAAGCAGGCTCTGCCACCCTCCCTGGTGCCCTCTGAGGTCACAGCCTCTAGCAGCATCAGAACTGAGCCAAGCTGAGCCTCCTGAGGAAGGTGGGGATGGGGGCTTCAGGGAGAGTTGAGGGAAGTAGGGCCAGGGCTGGGGGAAGGTGCCTCCCAGGCTCCCAGCCCTGACCTAGTGCAGAGGCCCAGGGCCCGACTCTCCTGATCTTGCCCCTGCATCCCCTCCCCCAGGGGGTCAGTATATCTTCTGACGACTGGGTAGAATGGCCTCTTTGATGAAAGAGAAGACAACCAGGATCCCTAAGCGTTTGCCCCGCTTGCCTTTGGTGAAGTAATTGGAGACCACGTCATCTGTAGAGACACAGGCAGGGAGATGAGTGTGTGCGTGTCTGAATGTGAACACAGCTCTCCCCACCTGGAGCCCAAGTGTCTCCACCACAAGGCTGGGCTCTGGCTCCCTGAGCCAACTCAGGCCTTGCTGGCATCCTCCCACCAGGACCCCTCACAAACCCCTTCTCACCTCCTGGCTGCATGGTGGAGGGCAGGACGTTCTCCCCAGCCGACAGTGACACAAAGAATGCAAACGGGATTATCCAGAGACAGAAAGTGAAATAGGCCAGGACCTGGCAACGACAGACAGAGAAGAGGGTGCCCCTGGAGGTGCCAAGAGTGGGCTGGGCCTGGTCACTGGGCACCTCAGAGAGGTGGTCAAGGGTGCACAGAAGACCGCACACCTGACCTCTGAAGGGAGCCAGGGCCCAGGAAGCAGAGATAGGACATCCTCAGACATGGAGATAACTCAGTGGGGAAAGGTCATCTCAGTGGCTGAAGATGACCGAGTGTGGCCACAATCCCCAAATCTAGGTCACCAGGACAAGAAACTCCTCTGAAGTGAAGGAGATAGATCGAGGGCAAAACCATGACCGACCCATACTCCCCAAAGAAGTGACCTGTTCTTCCCCAGGGCTTCAAACTGGAGCAGCAGGGTGTGGAGAGGAGAGAACCCTGGTAGGCCACTGGGAAGAGCTGGGGTTCAAGGCTGCAGCTTACCCCAGCCCTCGAGGTCTGCATCAGACAAGACCACCCTGGGGCCATGTCCTGACCTCAGGGTGTTAGGCTGGGACCCGGGGAAACCCAAAGGACTCACTGTGAGGAGCAGTGTCCTCTCCACCTTAGCCAAAGGGATCCCTGCTCCTCGTCCACACTGCTCTCTAAAATCGCCTATACTGCGTGTTTTTGAAACATGTTATCCCTGAAAACACTCAGTTTCAAACCATAGCTGAGTTCACCGAGCAAATCATGCAAGTCCCCTGTGCTCCCCACCCTGTTAAGAGCTTGATGTACTGAGTGCTTCTTACCTCTGAGAAAGGATAATATTCCTCCGCAAAAAACTGAAATGCTAGGTAATGATTCACCACCACTAGCCCTGTCGAGGGAACGAAGAGGACGTCAGTTCGGAGGGAAGAACATCAAGTTCGACTTCAACCCTCAAAAGGCCCCTGGGAGCTGGGAGCTGGGAGCCCTGAGTCTTAGTCTCGACTCTACACCTGACTCAGAGTATGGCTCTGGGCCCACAAACCACTCTCCAGAACTCAGCTTCTCGTCTGTTCAAAGAATGAGCCCCACCTGCCTGCTGCACAGGGCACTTATGAGTAAAACTAGAAGAAAGCTCTTTGAATGTTAGAGAGAGACTTCAGTGTTACAGAATCCAAAGCACCGTGACAAGTGACCCGGTTTTCAGTGGCCATGCGTACTGAAGAGCGCTCCCTCCTGGACGATGTGGGGGCGGGGAGAGGGGTGTGCAGACCCCACACGCCCGGGAGGTTCTACTCCAAACCTGGCAGAGGGAGTGGCTGCCTCGCGGAAGGAGGCTCACCCCCCTCAGGAATGAAAGGGCACAGCCTGTAGACACTTTGGAGTGCAGTCTTAGGGTGCCTCAGAATTCTGGGGGAGGAGTCCTTCCTTGTCCTGCCCCAGGGTAAGGCACACTGGGCAGAACTGGGACGTTCTGGACCCACACCAGCCTCCTCAGTGTGTAGCCGAATTTATGGGAGAGAGCGAGCAAGCAGATCCTGGGAACAGGCTGCTCAGAGACAGGCACCTGCCTGTTCCCATGGTGAGGGGAAGGGCAGCCACCAGAAGAAGGCTGCCCCCAAACTGAACACCCCTCACATATACCTCACAGCCAACTGGCATGTCCATTCCCCTTTCTCGCCTCTCCTTCTAAGGCAGGGACCGCAGCTCTTCCATGCCTACCCACACTCTAGTGCTAGGGGACACTGGAAGATAGGGTGATCTTTCAGAAGAACCCTCTCGGGCAGGTCAGGGGAGCCCACTGCTTTGGGGGGCTCTCCCCGCTGGGAAGATGCAGAAGGGGCCTGGTCTCCAAGGAAGGGCTCCCCACGCCAACCCCAGCTGAAGAAATCCTTTGGTGCACTCACACCAAGGCCCTCAGGGCAGAGCCGAGTCCTAGCTTTAACAGTGCGCCCTCCTTGTGGATAATATTCTCTTTCCAGGTTCTGCCACAGAAATAGAAAAGTAGCTCTTAAAAACCCCAATTCCACCTGATACCCTGACCCAAAGGCTAAGATGACCAGTGATGACTAATGGGAGAAAAGGCAATCCTGGTAACCAGATATTCTCCAGAACCTTCTCCACGAGTATCTATAAATATCTCTAAGCACCTACTATGGGCCAGCTGAGCCTCCCAAACATCATCTCTGAACAGATGGAGAAGCCAAGGCCCAGGGAGGGGAAATGCCTCCCCAGGGTCAGAGTGGTGGCAGGACCATGGCAGGAGGGC